TCGCTAGAAGTCGGATGTGACTCTATGGCACTAACAACAAAAAATCTGAAGGAAATAATCAGAGACATGGACACTTATGTACAAGTGTATTAATAGCAGTGTTATTTTTAATGGGAAAAAAACACGCCTAAATATTGAACAATAGAGAATCACTTAAATAACTTAGGATTCATCTGTATGATGGACATAATGCGGCCATTAAAATCCATGTTTTTCTGAAAATTTTAGCATTATGGGAAATTTTTCATCTCATAACACTAAGAGAAAAAATGCACAAAACTATGTACACATCACCCACATTTTGTGGCTATGAAAACACTGAAAGGAAATATACCCAAGATGTTAGCAGTGGTGGAATTATGGATAGTTCTTTTTTCTTTTTTATCATTTCCTTTATTTTCTAAATTTTCTACAAGGATATATTATTTTATAGCTAGAAAATAGTTTTAATTTTTTTTTAAAGCTCATTTTCATTTTATTTTTATTTATATATATTTTTTTTGCTGAGGAAGACTGGCCCTGAGCTAACATCCATGCCGATCTTCCTCCACTTTATGTGGGATGCCGCCACAACATGGCCTGACAGGCGGTGCGTTGGTGCGCGCCCAGGATCCGAACCCGGGCCGCCAGCAGCGGAGCGCGCGCACTTAACTGCTACGCCACGGGGCCAGCCCCCTAGTTTTAATTTTTTAATGAAAGAAAATTGATAGGACAAGGTAGTCTATGCTCGAAGCAAGATGAACAAATGACAGTAAACTCACATTCATGCAAAATGGTTGAGGATTGCACCCACTCTTTCGCTTTCATGCTGTGTAGCTATAGCCTTGTTCTCTGCAACCTTTGAAGTGTTTAAGAGGGAGTTCAGGGCCGGCCCCATGGCTTAGCGGTTAAGTGCACGCGCTCCGCTACTGGCAGCCCGGGTTTGGATCCCGGGCGCGCACCGACGCACTGCTTGTCCGGCCATGCTGAGGCCGCATCCCACATACAGCAACTAGAAGGATGTGCAACTATGACATACAACTATCTACTGGGGCTTTGGGGAAAAAAAAGGAGGAGGATTGCCAATAGATGTTAGCTCAGAGCCAGTCTTCCTCAGCAAAAAGAGGAGGATTAGCACGGATCTTAGCTCAGGGCTGATCTCCCTCACAAAAAATAAAAGGGAGTTCATGAGGACAAAAGCAAAGAGAGAAAACTTGAGAGAGAAAGATCATTTCTTTCTTGTCCTATTCCAGTGTTTTATGGAAAGTTTCTGGGTGGGGCAATTTGGAGGCCATGGCAGTCAGCATCCCATTCCCTGTGTCCTGTGAATCTTTTCTCTTCTTTTATTTTGTTACCCTTGTTGAGGAAAAGGCTGGAGTAACCTGAGCCTTGAGATGGTTTGCAAGGCAAGCAGAGAAAGGCTCCTCACACTCACACCAGCGAGTTGTAATCATCACTTCTGTCCCTAAGAGTCCTTAATGACCATCCAGGAGCATCTGACCTGCCCCAGGCACAATGGGGTCAACAGTGTCTCAGTTCCTTTGACCCGATGGAGGGGTGAGACTGAGGTAGAGAGAGAATGAGCAGAGAAGGGGCAGGCTCAGATGTCTGCCAAGATATCTTTAGATAGCCTAGGAAGTCAACCTGATAATTATAGATGCTTCAAGCAGATGATCAGTGGACATTTGACATGCAAAAACTAGCCTCCATTTCTATCACTTTTGCCCCCAGTTCATTAAGGGCTTTTACATTCATGATTTTATTTGATACTAACCACAACCCTTTGAGAGAAGCACTAGTCTCCCATTTTACAGATAAGATCACTGAAGCTCAACAAGATTAAAGGATTTGCCCAAGGTCTCTCTTGGTTAATAAGAGCTGGAGCTGGAACCCAGAACTTCTGATTCCTTTTTCTTTCTTTCTTTCTTTTTTTCCGAGGAAGTTTGGCCCTGCGCTAACATCTGTTGCCAATCTTCCTCTTTTTCTTTTTTTCTCCCCAAAGCCCCAGTACATAGTTGTGTATCATAGTTGTAGAGTTGTAGCTCTTCTATGTGGGATGCTACCTCAGCATGGCTTGATGAGCAGTGAGTAGGTTCACGCCCAGGATCCGATCCAGTGAACCCCGGGCCACCAAAGCAGAGCACGTGAACTTAACTGCTCTGCCACTGGGCCAGCCCCTATGATTCCTTTTTCTTATTTGACACATTGAAGCCCTGATAGACACATTCTCATATAAGAACACACAAATAATACTGAAAAGTGAAAAGAAAACTGGAAATCTGTCTATTGGAAGTTTGTTCACGTGATCTTAGCTAATAATTCCCCTTTTGAAATTATTTTTCATTTCTCAGCCCATATGGTCAATGCCAAGGAGACACACCACAGACAGGGCCAAGGCACCGCCTCTAGGCCTTAATACTGTGTTTGTGTTGTGTTGTCTGGGCATAGCCACAGAGCCTGGGCTTAGTGGGAGTTCCTGGGGGGCGGCCCTGTTTGCCAAAGACACTGCTGACGCATGGGCTACGTGGCTCATGTGTCCTGAGCCTGTCATGGGTTCTCTGTGGAGGAGTCTCTGGGGTGAGGGGCTGCCATCTTGAATAGTACCCTGGGTTCAGGTGGGTTCCCCTCCAGATGGCACTTCATTAGACGAAAGCACAGTTAAGGCCCCAAGTGGGCACACCTGTTCATCCAACTGCTTAATCCGTCTCCATCTCAGGTCCTGCCCTCCCACTGTGTTTCTGACATGCACAGAAATGAAATAACTGGAGCTACTTTTGGTCCAGTGCTGATATTGTCACATTTAATTCTCATTCCAACCCTGTGGAGTCAGTTGACCCCACTTTATAATTAAGGACCCTGTGGAATCAGAGAAGTTCAAGCAACTTATTCAAAACCAATAAGTGGCCCAGGCAGGACTTGAACCCAGCTCTGTCTGGCACCAGAACCTAGGCGCTTTCCAACATACTACCCAGGCTTCATGCACAGTAAGAGCTCAGTAAATTCCTTCAGTTTGCTCCAATCCATCCAAGGAGATTTGACCAATTTGAATGTTTAAAAACTGTACCACTGGGGCCAGCCCTGTGGTATAGTGGTTAAGTCTGGCGCATTCCACTTTGGTGGCCTGGGGTTCACGGGTTCAGATCTTGGGCACAGACCTACACCACTCATCAAGCCATGCTGTGGCGGCAACCCACATACAAAATAGAGGAAGATTGGCACAGATGTTAGCTCAGGGCTAATCTTCCTCAAGCAAAGAAAGGAAGATTGGCAACAGATGTTAGCTCCAAGCGACTCTTCCTCACAAAACAAAACAAGACTGTACCACCACTGCAGACGAGGTGAGCTACATAGAGATGCATTTGCAGATCATGCGTGAGACAGAGCAGTCACAGAAGCGTGTCAGACCATCCACATGGCAACTGCCTGCGTGTTTGCATGGGGGAACTTATCTCAGGATTTTGGCCCACAGAAGGCAGGGTCCTGGGCAGCGTAAATCACTGCAGACGAGCCAGTGAATCCCAAATCAGCCCTGAATCCTCTGCACCTACCCTTCTCTCACCACCAGCCACCTTTCCAGGGGGGTGCTTGAATCATCTTCTCAGTCTTCAGGAAGTTCACATCTTGACTGAAACAATAGCAGAGCCTCTCTCCCCAGGAGAGAAGAGATTTTTCAGCCTCAGGTTAGGGGGAAAAAACAAGTTCTTTATAGAGTTTTCTCTTTTCAATCTGCTCTATAACCAGTTCTCTGAAATTTCAGTTAGAATCACCTATCTTTTCTCACACCCACACCCTCTGTCCACTATGTCCAGTCTTCAGCCCTGCTGTCAGTGGTCTGGGGCCTGACTGAGGACCACAATCTACGAAGACCATGCTCAAGGCAGAAAGTCAAGGCTTGATGCCATCACTACATTTCCTGTGGCTTAGCATTTGTGTATTTTCAATGTATTTTTATCCAGTCTCCTCCAATAAACTGGAAGCACAGAATGTTCGGAATGGGGGACTCTAGTTCACGAAGAGCTCCCACAGCCTATTCCTAAATACCTCCTGGGTCTTTGGCATTTGACCCAGAACTCTCCCGCGTTACCGCAGCAGTTCCTAGGGGATCCGCCTCTTTTTCTTTGTATCTCTGCCTGGTTCCCTCCAAAAATGAGGCAGGTTCTCCCAAGTCAGTGCTCAGTGTTGCTAACCAGAGAAACAGAATCTTCTAGCTCTAATCACCCTCAAGGGACATCTTAGGTTGGCCAACAGGCACGGGCATGGCTGTTTAGCTCACCTCTGTGGTGCCAAGGAATGACAGGCATGACTACTCCGGGGAGGGCCAAGCCACCCGCCCTCCTCCAGTCCTCACTCCTCTGCCACCATCGCAGCCCTAGCCCTTCCCTCCCTGGACTAAGCTGCCTCTGTTCCTGTGGTGGTGGGTCGTGGGGAGGTGGGCCTGTAGTCTAGATGCTCTTCTATACCCATTTCTGGACAAGTCTTGCCCCCACCTGTCCCAGCCTGGGAGTCTCAGCAGGGCATTTCTGCTCACTGATGGCTTGGGTTGGCTACAGTAATCACGCCTTGATGAGGATTAATGAGCTTCCCAGGCCTGTTGGGTGACTCTGCTGTGGGAAGCCGTCCAATCCAGAGCTCGGTCTATCCCCACAGCACAGCATGCTTTACTATGAGTCAGAGCTTACAAATGCTGCAATTACTACCACCATGTTCCTCATGATGACAAATTCTCCCAAAAGCTATCACTGTCGACTTCCTTCCACGGCAAGACTTTGGTCTGCGAGTCAGCTTAAGCCCCAGGGCTTTGGGCTTCAGGTGAGTTTCTTTTTGTGTCAGTTCTCACTTATTCCTGCTAGGGAAAGCAGTAATGGTTTGGATAATCTAAAGGGACAGATTATCTAAAAATAATTTAAATAATTTAAATTTGTCTCTGGAATGTGTTAAGTGATTTATTTGTTTTAGGTAGAGTATTTACCTTCCTAATGACACTTAATTAAGGTTAACGAGAGAAGGAAATGGCATTCTATCATCCCAGATTAGTTAGATCTGGAGGTGGGGGAGAAAGGGGGAGCCAGTGGGGCCGGGTTATAAAACAATGTGCTCAACATTCACAGTGGCCAGAGATACCCCCACTAACTTCTTACATGCCCAGGGGATTACGTGAGCTCAGTGCTTTTGTTCCCAGCAGTAGGTTCACACATCTTGCCATCTTCCCATTGGTGTGGAGAGGCCTGCCATCTTGGAAGCAACAGAGGAGCAAATCAGGCAAAGAAAGAAATGCTTCTTATGTCCAGGAAGTTGGGAGCTGTACTCTAAAATAAAAAAGGGGTAGGATAAATGCTCCTCTTCCAGCAAATATGGGAATGTCCCCTTGAGAGAAAGAGGAGGCTTTCAGGAGCCCATGGATGGCCAACTCCCTATTGCCCTTTCTAGGATCTTAGAACTGTTAGCCCTGAAGACCACGACACAAGATTCCAGTGAGCAGAGTAGGGGACAAGGCAGGTGGACAGGGTGAGAACTGTACAGGATTCAGACCCAGAAGAAAAGGATTGCCTCTTGTTGCCTATGGGATCTTGGGCAAGTTATTTAATTGCTCTGACCCTCAATATACTCATCTGAAAAAATTAAAACAACGACAATAATAAGAGTAGCTAGCTTACAGATGAGTTGGAGCTAAATAATAACATTTATGAAAGTATTTTGGGTTTTTTTGGTTTTTTTTGTTTTTTAATTTTTTATTTATTTATTTTTCCCCTAAAGCCCCAGGCGATAGTTGTATGTCATAGTTGCACATTCTTCTAGTTGCTGTATGTGGGACGCGGCCTCAGCATGGCCGGAGAAGCAGTGTGTCTCTGCGCGCCCGGGATCCGAACCCGGGCAGCCTGCATCGGAGCGCACGCACTTAACCGCTAAGCCACGGGGCTGGCCCTATGAAAGTATTTTGGAAGCTGTAAAGTCCTGTGCAAATTTTACTTATTACTATAACTGTGACTGGCTCAGTGAGACTCATCCACAGTCCTGGAAATGCAACTCAGTGGACATGCCACCTTAGAGTTTGAAGGACTGTATGTTCAGCACATAAGAGTATATTCAGGTGTGTACTTAATCGTTGCTATTCTCATTCCAACTTATATAGAGATAGCACAAGAATCCAGGGTAAGACTAACTGCCTTCTTGCACGTAGTCTTTTCTCATTTTCCTGACATTTGGTTGAATTTGTTAATGATTCTAGATTTCAGCCTCTTCAGAAATGCTTGGCAGTAGAACTACCATCTACTTTGGAAGCCAGGTTGGAATCTGCCCAGACTCTCAATAAGAGGGTACTTCCCTTATCTAAGATCCTTTCTTCAAAGGATAGGGAGACAGTGGGGAGATGGGGCATTAGGGAAGAGTAGTGGGGTGTGTGTGTGTGTGTGTGTGTGTGTGTGTGTGTGTGTGTGTGTGTGTTTGACAGCCACTGCTCATCTTCAGCTTTCTCAGAGGACTATCTTCTCCATTGAGGAAAGAAAAGAAGAATCATGATTGAAATGTCAGGATGTCAGGATATCCTGAGTTTTCCTCCCTAGGTCTGAATCCTTGTTCCCAACTCTCAGTTTGTCCCTTTCTTTCTTTTGACCATTGCTCCCCACCCCTGGCTTTAGTGTTTCTGTTCTCTTGGCCTGTTGTAAAGGCACAGGGCCTCTGGGATCAAATGGCAGATTCCTTTAAGGGAAAACGGGATATGTACCCTAGGACCAGAGAGGTAACCTGCAGGTTCTCCATGTTGCTGAGAAAAGGAGCAACAGTTTCACCTGGATGTTCTCACATGGCTTACTCTCATTTGAGGTTGAGTCTGGCTATTCCTAAGTCTTCACAATCTTATATTCCTAACCTGTCCAAATCCAGTGGAATCTTAATCCTCATTCCACATGTAGCCATCAGCTACAATTAGTCCTTCAACTCACCACCTTTAGTTATCCTTCAACTACCCATCAGCCACCTCCAAGTGCTTCCAACCCTTCACAGTAACTGGGTAAATAGCAAATTGTCTTCAGTGGACACAGTGTTTCTAAAAATAGAGTTTTTAATAAGAAGTAAATCAGGAATCTTCAAAAGGGTCATATCCTGTCTTAGGTCAGGTTCCCTAGAGGGGCATCCTAATGTGGGGATTCTTGTGCAGGTGGCGTTTGTGGGAAGTGCTCTAGAAGACACCCGAAAGGGAGGGAGGGGAGCAGGATAAGGAAGGAGAAGACGCTAAAGAGGAATGTGACTTCAGGAGAAATGTGGCCTCAACCTGGTCCTTCCAGGAGCTCTAGAGTATAAATGGCACCGCAGAGTTTATCCTGCATTGAGGCAAGGAGGTGGGCACTTTTATATCTCCACACCAGCCAGTCACTGGCTGTAGGCTGTGGAGGGGTGTGGTTCCCAGGCATGCAGGGAGGTGGCTCCAGTTGTCTGAGGTGTGAGTCATCAGCAGCGCCTGCAGCAGCTGGAGGAAGGACACCCCTGACTGTAAAAGGGATCCCAAAGGTCCAACAGCTTCTGCTACATACTCTCTGACTCTAATTCCAGTCCTGGAATTCTGCCATATTGAAACAATTCTAAGTATAGAAAACAACAATGATGTTTATTGCAGTGTCATTTATGATAAAACACTTTAACATGCAAAAACCTGAGGTTTCAACAAGACAGGAATAAGTAAGTCAATTATGTAATAGTATAATTAAGTAAATAAATTTCGCACTTGCATGGCATTCTTTGCCCCACAAAGCCTTGGCCCCTGTCTACCTCTCTGATTTTATCTGGAACCACTCTCCCGCCTTGCTCTTCATCCTCTAACCAAACTGGTCTCCCCTCTGTCCCTCCACACACCAGGCTTGCTACCTTCCCAAGGCTCTTGCACTTACATTCTCTCTGCCTGGAACACTCGGTACATGGCTGCTCCTAAATTCCTTCAGGACCTAGATCTCATATCATCCTTTTTTTTTTTTTTTTTTTTTTAAAGTTTTTTTTTTTTTTTTTTTTTTCCCCCCAAAGCCCCAGGCGATAGTTGTATGTCATAG